CGCCCAACGGGAAGGCCAGCCCCATCGTCTACAAGGCCAATGGCACCTCACGACATTACCAGCTGGAGGAGCACCCCGTCACCCTCAACCCCTACCGGAATGTGAAGGACGTGGTGGAGGCCTCCGTTTGCCATGTGAAGGACCTGGACAATGGACAGTCAGTGGGCCCAGTACTTCTTCTTGGCTTTTAAAACTGACCTAGTGTGTCTCAACGTCAGCCACCTGAAGGTGTGTGGACTTCAACTCCCAGAATCCCCCAGCCGGCAAAGCTTCTGGGAGTTGAAGTCCACCCATCTTAAAGTGGTTGAGGTTGAGAAACACTGCTTTAATCAAAATGAGGTGGGGGGGGAGGCCTTCCCCCTGCAAACTCTGCATGTCCCTCAAAAGATTACTTTGCTCCCCAAGAATGGCGTCTAAAAGACGTTTAGCAAATGGCAACGCTCCTTCTTGTTCTCCCTAGGATGCGAGAAGTCGACCTGGGCTGTGGGAAGGCTCTGCTGGTGAAAGAACATGGAGAGTTTTATGCCATGGGCCATAAGTGTCCTCACTACGGCGCCCCACTGGTGAAAGGTATGTTTTACCCCCACGCCCCAGAGCATGATTTGGGGTTACCTAGAACAGCGGTTCTCAACCTGTGGGTCGCGAACCCTTTGGGGGTCGAACGACCCTTTCACAGGGGTCGCCTAAGACCATCGGAAAACACATATTCCCGATGGTCTTAGGAACTGAGACACCGCTCCTCTATCCGTCTCCGCACGGCTTTGAGCTGGGGACCGTTGCAGCGGCGGATTCGTTTCCGTCGAGCATCTCCTAAGGGAGGCTGCGTGGCTTCACGGCCCTTTCCACGGAGGAGGCTGAACTAAGGCTGTCGCCCTCTTGGCTCTCTCTCTCTCGCTCTCCCTCTCCCCGCCTGGGCGCTTCTCCAACCAGGCTGGGCGGAGCCGGCGGAATGGCCTTCCTGCCCCCCCTCCCCGGCCAGCTGGACCCGGCAGGCTGGTGACCTTTGGAAGTGAGGCGAGGACAGGCGAGGCGCGCTGAGCCCCGGGCACGGTGGGTGAGTGGGTGGCATTGGTGCGCGCTTGAAGAGCCCTTAGGGTTGGGGGTCACTACAACATGAGGAACTGTATTAAAGGGTCGCGGCATTAGGAAGGTTGAGAACCACTGACCTAGAAGATGTCTCTGCAGGACTGGCCTGGAAAAGGCTTAGGGAAGTTCTGCAAGGTTCTGAAAATAGTAAACTCTTAGTATCAGCTGACACGGACACTAGAAGATCCTGATATTCTGAGGCTTTGTTTGATCCCATGTTGGTTTGTCTGCTTCTCAGTCACCCCATGTTTTAAATCTTTCCTGTGGTCACTGCAAAAGGACCCTTTTTTCCTCATGGACTAATTCTGTTGTTGCTTTCTTGGGGTCCTTCTTCACAGGGGTCTTGTCCAAAGGCCGAATCCGTTGCCCGTGGCATGGGGCTTGCTTCAACATCAGCACTGGTGATATTGAAGACTTCCCAGGGCTGGATAGTCTCCCCAAATTCCAGGTGAGAATAGAATAGAATTCTTCATTGACCAAATGTGGTTGGACACACAAGAAATTTGTCTCCGGTGCAGAAGCTCTCAGTGTACATACAAGAAATAGTGATGTCATGATCATAAACAACATAAAAATACATTCAGAGAACTCTGCAGTTTAACAGTTTAACAGCAGACAACAACAGTCATTTGATGAAAACGTCCTGTGATCTTCTTTCAATCCGTGCCACTGGGAATATGCAGCAGCCCCCCCTCCCTCACCCCATTTTGTAGGGCTTCAGACAAATTGCTCCTTAAGTGTATTGACCCGGGTTCCTGGCAGATATCCCAGCAAGTCTCTTTAATCCCTAGACCAAAATTTCTCTACCTTAGCCACTTGAAGATATGTGGACTTCACTTCCCAGAATTCCCCAGCCAGCATAAAGTTCATACATAGTCAAGCGTCCAAGATTTAGAAACCCTGAAAAGTCTTACAGATTTGGACTCCCTGGACTGGGGACCATCAAAGACCTTTGAGGGGCTTCCCCTGACACACCTGACCAGGTCTACTGAGGTTCCAGAGTGAAGTCAGGATGGGCACGAAGGAGGCAGTTGGGCCCCTCCTCAGTAGTCCTCCAGATCATGGAGAGGAATTATAGAGGGGCTGAAAGGAGATGGGACTCTACACAAAACGCATGTACACACATACACAGCCTCCTTGTCAGCAATCATGGACATAATGAAGCCTTACACAAAGCTCTGTCCGGAATAGCAGCTGATGCTGTCCCACAAATGCCCAACCAACTCTTTGCTCTGAGACCATTTCTTTGGTCTCAGGGTTGGAAGGGAACTTAGAGGTCATGTAGCCAAATCTGGGCAGGATCCCCTGGAGCAGCTGTGACAGATGATGATCTAGCCCAGGGGTAGGCAACCTTGGCTCTTTTATGACTCGTGGACTTCAACTCCCAGAATTCCTGAGCCAGCATGGCTCCGCGTGGAAACCTCTCCCTTTTCCCTCAGCATGGCTGGTTCAGGAATTCTGGGAGTTGAAGTCCAAGAGTCATAAAAGAGCCAAGGTTGCCTACCGCTGGCCTAGGCCTAGGCCACTTTGTGACTCGTGGACTTCAACTCCCAGAATTCCTGAGCCAGCATGGCTCAGCTTGGAAACCTCTCCCTTTCCCCTCAGCACAGCTGGCTCAGGAATTCTGGGAGTTGAAGTCCACGAGTCATAAAAGAGCCAAGGTTGCCTACCCCTGATTCCTAGCCCCATTGAAGATTTCCAGGGGAGCCAAAGTCACCCTCTGACCTGGAATCCTTGGGCTGGGAGGGACTTTGGAGGTGATCTGAGCATCCTTCTCTACCATCTGCTGGATACTGTTTTCCCCATAAGACAACTTGCTTTTCAGTGGGGGGGTGGGGGTGGGGCAGCTGGTTTAGGATTATAATGATGAAACACTTATTTGAGTGAGAGTGAAAGTTGCATCAGGAAACATGATGACGTTTTTTTCTCGTTCCAGGTGAAAATTGAGAAGGAAAAAGTGTACATCCGAGCAAGCAAACAGGTGAGCTGTAGGGTCCCCCCCACTGGGCCATATATTCTTCAGGGCAGCTTCCCTTGGGCAGTCAGGAGAATTTGCAGGACCAGGAGGCTGTTGGGGCCCAGGCCTGCGCTGGCCATTGTAGTGGAGCCCTTGAGGAGCAGGCTGTTCCTCTTTGTGGCTCCTTTTCAGGTGAACATCTTTGCTTAAAAGGCCGAGCTTTTGTGAGCTGCATTTCCTGACCCCTGGTGCCTTGGACTAACCTTGATTTGATGGAAAGGGTACTAGTAGACTCCTTCCTGTTGACTGTAGAAGTTGGAGCTAGGTTCACACAATCTGCTAATTCTAAACCAAGTTGTACAAATCACAATTGCTGTGTTGTCGCCATAGCTTGCACTCAGTTCAATTCACAATTTTTGCTGTGTGGAATGGCGGGCAGAAAGAGCGTTCCCACCTGTCTGGCATTCCCTACATCAGAGGCCTCCAAATTTGGACTTCCAACTCCCAGAATTCTCCAGCCGGCATGGGTAGTTTAGGGCGTTGCACGGATTAATCTGCATTTTGTTTCTTCCTGTCCTATTGGACTGGCAGGAAGGGCAGGCTCCGGGTACCTAGAGAGCCTACCCCCCTTTGAATCATCATCCCCTCTAAGGTTAAACTGGTCCCATCCCTGTTGGCCTTTCGTAAGGCCTCGAACACTGAGCTTTGTGCCTGCCTCAAAAGGCCTTGGAGGAGCCCATCTCCTGGCTGGGCAGGCAGCTGGTTAGTGAATGCCCGGGTGCTCTGCGTTTAATTTTTAGTTTCTATTTTTTCATTTGTGTATTTTAATGATTTGATTACAAGCCACCTACAGTCTCACAAAAGGGACCTGGGTAGCCATATATTGTAAATCAACTAACTAACTGAATGAATGAATATAAATGAATGAATGAATGAATGAATGAATGAATGAATGAATATAAATGAATGAATCAATGGATGGATGGATGGATGGATGAATGAATGAATATGAATGAATGAATGAATGAATATGAATGGATGGATGAATGGATGAATGAATGAATATAAATGGATGGATGGATAAATGAAAATATAAATAGACGGCGTGGAGTCGCTCTTTGTGAAGTGGGGGCAAGGGGTGCAAGTGGGCTTGTTGATTATATACCTGGCTCCCTGCTATGTATCAACAGCCCTGCCTGAGCTGGCCGACGTGATAGCCGGGGTGGCGGTGGGGACCCCCAGACTTATGGTCTTGGGGGATTTCAACCTGCCATCAGTGGGCAAGACGTCGGCGGCGGCTCAGGAGTTCTTGGCTTCCATGACGGCCTTGGACTTGACCCAATTAATTAATGCCCCCACCCACACGGGTGGACACACGCTGGATCTAATT